CATGGGGCTTGAACCCTGGGCTTGGGCACTGTCCCTGTGCTCTTTAGCTCAAGGCAAGTGCTCTACCATTTGAGCCACAGTACCACTTCCAGTTTTCTGGTGGTTTATTGGAGATAGGAGTCTCAAGAACTTTCTTGCCTGGGCTGGCTTTGAACCCTGATCCTCAGATCACAGCCTCCTGAGTAGCTGAGTGGCATGAGCCGCTGGCACCTGGCTTAGAATATTCCCTTCTAGCCCTGGTTTCTCATTCCTTTTTCTTGTCATATTGCACTGGATAAGATTTCTACAGTAATTCTGAGAAGTGTTGGTTTTGCACAGTATTGAACATGTTCCCCAGAGGGTGGGTCTGTCACTGGGGAAATTCTCTCACCATCTATGATGGTGTCCATTTGCAAATGTCCAAAATGCTCACTTAATGCCAGAAATGACCTGAATAAGGCAGGTAAGTACTAACTGGGACCCACCACCAGCATCTTTCCCAGTGGAAAAATAAAGTAGCAACCCTTTTTGGTTATGTCATTCTTTTTAGACAGTGAGAAGAAAAAGTTATCAAGCGTGGAGAAGATCAAGCAACTGCGAGAACAGGTTAACCACCTCTTCAGTCGGAAATTTGGTACATTTTTAAATTTATGTATCCAAGAATTATATACTTGAAATATTTCATTGGAAAAGAGTATCTTACAGGAAGTTGATCTGTGTGTAAGGGAGCTGTCTTTAAAGGTAGTGTGTATTTTAATAGCTGCCTTTGATTTGCTCAGTTCTTAGCATGGATGAGTGTAATTTAGTACTTGGCATGTATAGTCCTCAAATCTTTCACGTAGGTACCAAGATAATTCCTGTTTAATAGGTGGAGAAATGATCTACCACTCACACCAACTTCAAAGTCAGTAAAAATCAACCAAGTGCCTGAGGCTCACACTTGTAATCCTGGCTAGTTGGGAAGCTGAGATCTAAGGATCATAGTTCAAAGCCAGACTGGGCAGGAAAGTCTGTGAGACTCTTACTTCCAATGAAAGCCAGAAGCAGAGATGTGACCCAAGTGGTAGAACACCATTTTAAGAAGAAGAAAAAAAAAAAAACAACAGGCAAAAGTACTAGGTTTTGAATTCAAGCCCTAGGACTGGTACAAAATATTAAATATTTGGAGATTGCCGTTATGCTTTCCTCATATGTACCTGTGTAATATATTTGATCCTCCTTCTGCCCTCCATCTCTTGCTGCTGGCTCACTAGATTTTTTGCTGGCTTCAATCATAGACCCTTCTACTACCGCCTCCTGCCTAGCTGGGATTACAGGAGTGAGGCCATTGCTGGTTTTCACTTGATGAGGATGTCTTGTAAAACTGTACTTTAAACGTAGAGTGCCATGGAGAAGAACACAGAGCCCCCATGTGAAGCATCTTTGCCTTTTGCGTGGCAGGTGAGGCAATCGGCGTGGATTTCCCCGTGAAGGTTCCTTACAGGAAGATCACCTTCAACCCCGGCTGTGTGGTGATTGATGGCATGCCCCCGGGTGTGGTATTCAAAGCCCCTGGGTACCTGGAGATTAGCTCCATGAGGCGGATCCTGGAAGCTGCAGAGTTCATCAAGTTCACGGTCATCAGGTGGGTGAGGGGCCCGGCTCTCTGCATCATTATGAAGTGGAGTGAGCTTGTCAGGGTCCAGATGCTGCCCTCGCAGACCAGGGCTGCCCAGGCCCAAGTCCCCAAGGCCCTCTGCCCCGTATCACACAGTGTTTGTCTTGGGGAACATGCCTGGTTCCAGCTCCTCCGTGCCTGGCATGGCACCAACAAGAAGCCAGGCAGAGCCCAGGGACAGGAGGGGACCGTGCCATGCACTCACCATGTCTCCTTCTCTGCAGGCCGCTGCCTGGACTGGAGCTGAGCAATGGTGAGTTCTGGGTGCCGGGTGCCAGGCTTCAGGCCCAGGCTCCCACCGCCCCTCCCCCCACCCCACCAGCCAGGAGTCTGTACAAATCGTGTCATCTGTTAGATGCTGTGTTAACATTTACTTGTTTCCATCCTGGAGATGGAACTCCAGACTCACACACATACCAGGCATGCATTTTACCAATGAGTTAACCCCCAATCCTGCCTACGTTTCTTTCTTTCTTTTTTGTCAGTTGTGGGGCTTGAACTCAGGGCCTGGGCGCTGTCCCTGAGCTCTTTTGCTCAAGGCTAGCACTCTACCACTTTGAGTCACAGCACCACTGCCTGCTTTCTGGTGGTTAATTGGAGATAAGAGTCTCACAGACTTTTCTGTCTGGGCTGGATTGTTGAACTTCAGTCCTCAGATCTCAGCCCGCTGAGTAGCTGGGATGACAGGCGGGAGCTACCAGCGCCTGGTTCTCCAGGAGACTCTTATCTCCAATGATTCCCCCCAAAAGCCAGAAGTGGTGGTATGGCTCAAGTGGTAGAACACCAGCCTTACGCAAAAAAGCTCAGGGATAGTGCCCAGGCCTTGAATTTCAGCCCTAGGGCTGGTGCACATAAAAAGAAAAGGAGCAAAGTGAAGTCTTTCTTGCTTGTGTCTCCGTCCCAAGTGGGCAAGCGCAAGATCGACCAGGAGGGCCGTGTGTTCCAGGAGAAGTGGGAGCGCGCCTACTTCTTCGTGGAGGTGCAGAACACGCCCATGTGCCTGATATGTAAGCAGAGTGTGTCTGTGGCCAAGGAGTACAACCTGCGGCGCCACTACCGCACCAGCCACAGCCAGCACTACGACCGCTACACCGAGCACGCACGCGATCTCAAGCTGCTTGAGCTCAAGACGGGGCTCACCAAGTACCTCCTGGGCCCCCCCGCCATCGCACTCCCCAATGCTGGCCCACCAGAACCCACCTCGGCCGAGCCCCCGAGGGAAGACTCAGCCGGGGGTCTGTGGGCCAGGCTGCGTGAGAAGATCCGATCGTTCATGGCCTACTCCCTCGCCATCGATGAGATCACAGACATCAACAACACGGCACAGCTGGCCATCTTCATCCGTGGTGTGGACGCCGACTTCGAGGTGTCCGAGGAACTTCTGGATACAGTGCCCATGACGGGCGCCACATCTGCCAGCGAGACCTTCACCCGCGTGGAGAAGAGTCTGAGGAAGTTCAACATCGACTGGGCCAAATTGGTCAGCGTGGCATCCACTGGCTCCCCCGCCATGGTAGACTCCAGCCACGGTCTGGTCCCCAGGCTGTGCGCCAGGGCAGCTGCAGCCAGCAAGGGCTCAGAGCTGAAATCCCTGGGCTGCATCATCCGCCCTGAGACCCTGTGCGCCCAGAGCCTGGACATGGAGCATGTGATGGAGGTGGTGGTAGACTCGGTGAACTGGATCAGCTCCCGGGGCCTGAACCGCGGCGAGTTCACAGCCCTGCTGTACGAGCTGGACAGCCAGTACGGCAGCCTGTGGTACCACACCGGCGTCAAATGGCTCAGCCGAGGCCTGGTGCTCCAACGCTTCTTCGAGTCGCTGGAGGACATCGACTCCTTCCTGTCCTCCCGGGGGAGGCCGCTGCCCCAGCTAAGCTGCAAGGCCTGGGTGCTGGACTTGGCCTTCCTGGTAGACGTGACCACTCACCTCAACTCGCTGGCCCTGGCGCTGCAGGTCCACCCCCAGCTCGTCACCCGCATGTTCGATCTGTTTCGAGCCTTCCTGGCCAAGCTGGCCCTCTGGGAGACCCACTTGGCCCGAAACAACCTGGCCCACTTCCCCACGCTCAGGGCCGTGTCCCGCAGCGCCAGCGACGTCCTCGGCTACATCCCCAGGATTGCGGGGCTCAAGGCAGAGTTCCAGGCACGCCTGGCCGCCTTCCATGCGCAGGAGTCCGAGCTGCGGCTGTTCAGCTCACCCTTCTCGGCTGCAGCGGACCACGTGCCCGAGGAACTGCAGATGGAGGTGATCGACCTGCAGTGCAACTCTGCGCTGCGGGCCCAGTACGAGCGGCTGGGCGTGCCCGAGTTCTGCAAGCACCTGCGGAGCAGCTATCCCCGCTTCCGCGCCCACTGCGCCCGCGTCCTCTCCATGTTCGGCAGCACCTTCGTCTGTGAGCAGCTCTTCTCCATCCTGAAGCTGAGCAGGACGGAGGACCGCGCCGGGCCCGGGCCTGGCTCCTGAGGATGGCCCGAACCCCACCCGCATCGGAAATGAGCGCCCCGCCCCGCCCGTCCCCCTTCAGAAGCCACTGTAGCTGACAAAGTTCTGTGTGTTTCTAAGCTTTGACATGCCTCGTGCCTGGCCTGCTTCATCCACTCCTATTACCTGCCAGACCCGGTAGAAGAGCAGTGGGGATCCAGAACCTATCAGAAGACAGGGCCAAGACGTGGTTTCAGTGAGCAGGTTGAGCAGGGTGTTGGGAAGCTGGGTGTCTGGGTGGCAAGGCTCCCCTGACCGGCTGGGCTGGTGTTATTCCAGTAGTGGCCTCTCGGTGATGTGAGTGGGCGTGGCTTATTGTCAGAACCCTAGCCCTGGGTAACAAACCCCACTGAGAGCCGAAGGCCCTGAATTCAAGTAGCAGCCAAGTGCCAGTGGTTCATGCCTGGAATCCTAGCTACCCTGAGCTGAGTATCAAAGCTGGCCCAGGCAGGAAAGTCCATCAGTTTCTTATCTCCAACTAACCACTAAAAAGTCAAAGGTGGAGCTATGGCTCAAGTGGTAAATCGACAGCCTGGAGTGGATAAAGCCAAGTGTGATGGTGCAAGGGCCCCAAGTTCAAGCCCCAGGACAGGCACACAAATTAGTAATGCAAGCAGGTAAGGACGGTGGGTCTCATAAAGCTTTAGAATGGCAGGGAAAGACCCGGCTCCTCCCTGCAGCTCTGCCACCTTCTTGCTGTTTTTACCTTAAAACAAATCCTACATTTTCTTCATATGGCACTCTGAACTAGGACTGTGGGGGAACAAGCCCAGCACCTGGCTGGCCTGACTTGGGCGGGCCACTTGTTCTATTCCCTACCCGGGCTGGTGCTCCACCCCTTGAGCCACACCTCCTACTTCCGCTTTTAAGTGGCTGGCTTTGAACCACGATCCTTAGATCTCAGCGTCCAGAGCAGCTGGGGTGACAAGTGTGACCCACATTGCTGACAAGTTGCTTCGTGTGCGCTGTTGGCCTTCCCCCTCCGCACCGCACGGTGGCCTCGGCGTCGGGGACGACGCTAGGGCGCGCTCTGGGGCCCTGCGGGGAGGCTGAGGGCGGCTGGGCCCGTGTCGGTGCATGGGTCCGAGGACCCTCCGTCCCTGCCTAGTCCGTCCCAGCCGCGCGGTTCCAGGGCTCTCCCGGACCTCTGCCCCCCCTCCCGTGAGGACAGCCCGCACCCACGATCCCGCCCCTCCTCATTCTGGAAACATCCCCAGGGGGAGACCATCGTCCGCACACTCCAGCGTTTATTGAGCGGGAAGAGGCCTGAGCTGCCGGGCACCCCCAGACTGCTAAAAACACGGATGCGTAGCGGGCGCTGGGGCTCAGATGGCGGGCGCCAGTTTCCGCTTGGTGCTCTCGCTGCAGCGGTGCAGAATGAGGTCGGCGCTGGGCCGCGGGGGCACGGCAGGCTGCGGCTTCGCGCGCGGCGGCGTCTGAGGGCTGGCCCCTGGGGGCAGGGCCAGGATCAGGAGCCCGCCCCGTCCGCCCTGCTTGTCCCCGCCCATTGGGTACTCGGTCGACTCTCCCCGCCCCCGCCCTTGACTCCGCCCACCAAGCTGCATGGCTCCGCCCCATTGCCTAGGCCCCAGCCTATCAGCGCCCTCCGGTCCTCGCCTCTCTGGCTCCGCGCCATTACCCTGGGCCCTATCAGCGCCCTCCAGCCTGACCAGCTCCGCCCTGGGCCGCGCCTCTGCTTACGCTGCGGGCTCTGTCGGCCGCGCTGCTGCAGGAAGCGGACGCTGTTGCGGCGGTAGGCGTCCTGGCTGAGGCGTTTCCGTGCCCGCTGGTGGATGCTTTGCGCGTTGCGAATGGTGGATCTGGCCGGGCGGGGCGGACACGAGGTCAGGACCCGGCGCCCCGGTCCCCGCCGTCCCCGTGGGCGCCCTGGGGTCCCAAGTCGACCCTGGAAGAGGGGGCCGGGGCGGGCGTGGACCCCGCGGTTCTCCCGCCCCACCGAGGGTGCGGCCCCCACCGCCAGCCCACCTGCGAGGCGGGGCGCCTCTGCCCCGGCCGGGGCGCGGGGCCTGCGCCGGGGCCTGCCCCGCCTTCTGCAGGTACATGGACGGGAAGTAGCCGGTGGCGTCCTCCTTCCTGCGGCGAGAAGCGGACCACCGGGGCGTCTGCCCCCCGCCGTGCCCGGCCGAGCCCTCCCAGCCTCCCGGCCCTCCTCCCCCACCCGCGGGGACGACCCTGGCGGGACCCCAAGACAACCACCACCACCTCCGCTTCTATCCTAACGCCGAACACCAGCCTTTGTCTGCGCGGGAGGTGGGGCGGAGGGGTGTCAGTGCGGAGGGCTTTCATTCAGCCCCTGGCACCCTGTGCTGAAGATGGTTCCATCCATCTTTGAAGCCAAGCCTGGTGACTCATGCCCATAGTCCCAGCTACTTGGGAAATGGACAGCAGCAGATTGAGGTGGTCTCAGTTTGGGAGAAAAGACAAGTTCATGAGACTCAATCTCAACCAATGGCGGCGGGGTCAAAGTGGGCACCAGTAATACCAGCTACTCAGGAAGCCCAGCACAAGTAGGAGAAAGCTCATGACACTCTGATCTCCAATTAAACACCAAAATGCTGGGAATGAAGTTATGGCTCAAGTGGCAGAGTCTCCAATTAACCACCAGTGTGACTCAAAGCAGTAGAGTGCTAGCCTTGAACAGAAAAGCTCACAAATAGCACCTAGGCCCTGAGTTCAAACCCCATGACTGACAAAAATAAAAATGGAGGAGGATGGGACAAGAGGGAGAAAGGCCTTATTTGGACAGAATTCTGAAACTCACAAGACAGGCAGGGTGGGCTCATCTTTCACCTTCCAGCAATGTGGAAACTGAGGCCCAGAAGTGCCGAGGCTTACCCAGAGTCACCTTGAGTTAGTCCAGAGCCCCAGCGGGCCTCCTGGCCGGGCCGACTCAGGGTGTGGAGCATGGGGGGAGGCTGTCCTACCTGACAACCCACCAGCCATCCAGAAGCTTGTGGATGACCTCGATGGCGTCCCCCTCGGACAGCGACACCTCATCCTCCTCCACCGCAGTGTAGCCTTTGATGGCAATGTAGGGCTCTCCTGGAGTCCAGGATGGAGATGCACATGCTGCCAGGGGCTGCCCACACCAGGCTTGCACCCCACTCTCCCCTCTGGGTCTAGAGCTAGCCCGGCTGCCCCCACCAGCCCCTTCTGGCCCCTGCCTGTGCTCACCAGCCCAGGTGAGCCCCCGCTGCCCACCCCTACCAGAGCCCGGGAGCTACAGCAGTCTGGCCAGGCTCCCACAGATGAAGTGTCCAGTTGTCGGGTAGCCCCCAAAGCATCTGGCTCCTCACATTCTAGCCCTGTGCCCCTCTGGGGGCCAGGCACCTGCATAGTTGGGCTCAGGGTCTTCTGCCTCATCTGGGCTGTCCAGAGGCTCCAGGAAGGACGCCGGGACCCAGCCACGCCTCGCCTTTGCCTGGCAAAACCACCAACCTAAACCAGGGTCGTGGGGATGTGAGTCAAGACCTTGGCCTCCCCAACCTCCTCCCCAGCCTCCCTGGGTCTCCCCTGGCCTCCTTGGCCTCCCCCATCTCTCCCAACCTCCCCTGGAGTCCATGGCAGAGGACATGGACACAAGGCATCTGCAGAGCCAGCCTGTGGAGTCCCACACAGGCTCGGGGGGACAGGACTGTGCCCCTAGTCCACTGTGCCCACGCCAGAGCCTCTGCAGGGCCTCAAGGCTGGGGGACCCCATGGGGAGACGGGGCAGCAGCAGGGCAGGGCAGGGACTGACCACTCTCGCTCTTTTCTACCACGTCCACCACGTCGCCCGCGGTCACCGCCATCTCAGAGGGCGAGCTCTTCTCGTAGGTGGCGATGGCGCGGTAGGTCTGTAGGATGAGGGGGCCTGTGATGTCTGCAGAGGGCACAGGGGCATGGACTGAGCGGGCACAGGGGCAGCGCCCCCCCCCCCCCGCTGCAGGCTCACAGGGTGGGCATTTATTCTGTATTTTTTATTTATTTATTTATTTATTTTTTTTGTCGGTCGTGGGGCTTGAACTCTGGGCCTGGGCGCTGTCCTTCAGCTCTTCAGCTCAAGGCGAGCGCTCTACCACTTGAGCTACAGCGCCACTTCCGGTTTTCTGGTGGTTTATTGGAGATAGGAGTCTCACGGTCTCTCCTGCCCGGGCTGGCTTTGAACCGCGATCCTCAGATCTCAGCCTCCTGAGTAGCTAGGATTACAGGCGTGAGCCACCAGCGCCCGGCTTATTCTGTATTTTTTAAAATATTGTCAAGAGGCTGGGAATGTGGCTTAGTGTAGAATGCTTGCCTACCATGTATGAAGCCCTGGGTTTGATTCCTCAGCACTACATACACAGAAAAAAACAAGTGGCACTATGGCTGAAGTAGTAAAGTGCTAGCCTTGAGCAAAAGCAGCTCAAGTTCAGTGCCTAGGCCCGGAGTTCAAGCCCCAGGACTGGCAAAAAACAAAAACTTGTCTATCATGGGGCTTGAACTCAGGGCTTAGTCACTGTCACAGCTGGTGCTCTACCACTTGTGCCACAGCACCACTTCTGGTTTTCAGATGGTTAGTTGGAGATAAGACTTTCCTGCCAGGCTGGTTTTGAACCGTGATCCTCAGATCTCAGCCTCCTGAGTAGCTAGGATTACAGGCGTGAGCCACCAGTGCTTGGCTAGAGTGGGTAGCTATTAAGTGCCTATTGTCTTCCCGCAGGGGGACCAGTCCTGGGCCTAGGAAGTTAGCAAAGGGATCAGAGCACACGTGTATATGTGTGCATGTGCACACATGGACGCATATGTCCATTACTGGAACGTGAACACAAGTCTTCTGCTTGACCACTTGAACCACAACCCCAGCCCTTTTTGCTCTCAGTTTATTTTGCAGATAGAGTCTCACACTTTTGCCCAAGGGATCAGCTTAGGTGTAGGATCTTTCTGCCTGTACCTCCTGAGTACCTGGAGTTCAGGGTGTGCGCCTCACACCCTCAGAGTTAATGCATTGTATACCACGCCTGGCACACGGTAAGTGCTCGGTAAATGCTAACCCATAGTATTAACAGCTCCGCCACAAGCAAGATTGAAACCTGGGAGGCTGGGAGTGGGGGATACTCCTGTAATCTCAGCACCCCAGAGGCTGAGGCAGGAGCAGCAAGAGTTCAAGACCTACATCCAACGCTTGTCTCAAAAACCCAAAAAGAACAAAGAGAAGAAACAGACTGGAGATGTAGCTCAGTGGCAGAGTGCAGAGCCCCGGCTTCCATCCCAGCACCAGGATGAACGAATGAGTGAGTGAATGAAAGAATGAATGAGCTGCCCGGCCCGGCTCCACCTCTGAGGCCACCTTGGCTCCTGGAACCCCCTCAGGATCCACATACCCCCAGGACCCTGGAGGGCTCTATGCTGGGTTTGTCGCTACAAGGACACGTTGCCACCTGCCGGCCATGGCCCGCCACGGGCCCATGCGCATCCTGCACCTCCCCCTCCTCTCCCCCTCCGCCTCCCCCCTCCGTCCCTGCCCGCGCCTCACCTGCTGCATTGCCTCGGCCATCCTTGGGCATCAGGTACGTCTCTGGCTTTTTAGCTCTGAGAAGAGAACACAGCCTGGTTCAGACCCTCAGCTTCCAGTTGGGGCTCTGGGTCAGACCTGCAGAAGGACTTCCCATGACCACTGCAGAGAGAAGGAGGTGTCTGGGCCAGGTGGGGTGGAGCCTGTGGAAGGGGAAAGGACCCTGGGCCCCTACAGATCATGTGGACACCAGCCGGGCAGCCTTCCTGGAATCCTAGCACACAGGGAGGGGACCTGGGGTCGCCATCTCTGCCCACCAGCCATCCCTGGGCAAGTCTGGGTCTTGTGCAAGGCGTAACTGCCCTCCAGGAGGCTGCTCAGCCTCTTCCAGAGGCCCAGGGCTGCCCAGACTCCCAGATCCCCTGCACCAGAGCCCTCACCAGGCGAGCACAGCCAGCCCCACAGCCGCACTGGGCGCCCCCCGCAGCTGCCTGCCCTCTCCAAGCTGTGGGCTCTGGGCTGTCAGCCCGCCCTCCCCGCACGGCGGCTGAGCGCATCCACTCACTGGCTGTCTGTGGGCAGCTTCAGGTCATCCGGGCGCACCTTGAAGAAGTTGAGCAGGTGTGGGCAGCGCGAGATCTTCGTGGGCAGCGCCAGGAGCGTGTGGAGGTACTCGGAGAGAGCGCCCTGCCGGCTCTCTGCCGCTCGCTGCCCGTCAAACCACCTGGGGGCTTGGGCCACCCACAACTCATTCATAGTGCCAGGGGGGCAGGGACACGGGACAGGGTCATGGGAGAAGGGGACATGGGATGGGGCCGCAGGGCGGGTGGGGACACGGCGGGCTGCCCTCACCTGGGAGGTGCGGGATCACCCGGCTCTCAGGGTTGATATCTCCAGCCTCAATAGGAAACATTTCTTTGAGCGTTTTCTAGGAGAGAGGAGATGGAGGTGAGGGTGAGGGCGCCGTGGGCTGGGGCGGGGGGCGTGGCCCTGCAGCCCCCACACTTACGTGGAACTCATAGATCTCAGTGAAGCGCCGGTAAACCACCTTCTCTGACAGGTCCTGCCACTTCACCAGGAACATGTACACCTGGGGGAGGGCTGCTCAGTGCCTGCCGCCCGGGCCAGGGCTTTGGGGTAGCCAGGGCCACTGACAGGGACTCAGGAGCTGCCAGCCCCAGGGCCAGGCATTGTGACAAATTCCTACAATCCCAGCTAGGCAGGAGGGAGAAATCAGGGAGATCACAGTTCAAGGCTAGCCCAAGGGGAAACGTTGGTAAGAGTCTATCTGCATCAGTGAACCTGGTGTGGTGGTTTATGCCTGTGATCCCAGCCATGAAACATAAATAGGAGCGACGTCCAGGTGCCTCCCCTCGACCTAGGCATATGTGAGACTTCATTAATAAAGTTACTAATGCCAGGTATGGGTGAGGGGGAAACCCAGCCATAGGAGGGGCAGGAGCAGGGGGCAGGGGGCAAACCCAGCCTGGTCCACAGCCAGAGGTAGTGACACCCTCCAATGTCACCAGCCTGCTCTATTCCAAATGATCACATCCTGGAGCTCCAGCCTGGGCTGGGTAAGGAGACTCCCATCAAAAGCAAGGAAACAAACCAGTGCAGTGGCTTATGCCTGTAACTCCAGCTATTCATGGAAATAGAGGTTAGGAGCATCAACATTTGAGCCGAACTCAGGCAAAAAAGCTGATGAGACTCATTTCAACAAACAAGCCGGGTGTGGGTATGTAAATCCTAGTGTTGTACAAAACATATAGAAGTGAGTTGGTGTTCCGGCTGGCCTAGACAGCATTTTTACTTTAAAAAATAACAAAAGCAAAGGGGCTGGAAGGGGCCCAGGTGGAAAGTCTGTATTAAGGAAAGCAGAGGGATGAGACCCCCATTGATCCTCGACTCTTGATCTCAATAAACTTTTCACCACAGGGCCCGTGTGGGGCCACTGAGGCCAACGCCGTCCCCCGTGACCCTTGTTTGTATGTGTTCACTTCCTGGTTATGTAACAATGGGCCAGGGCTGAGGAAACCCAAGCACACAGCTGGACCTGGAAGCTCACATCTGTAACCCTAGCTATTCAGGGGATAAAGATCTGGAAGACTGAGGTTTGAGGTCAGCTTGGACAGCCAAATCTGTGAGACTCTGATCTCCAGTTTATCATCAAAAAGCTGGAAGTGGAGCTGTGGCTCAAGAGTGCTAGAGCATCAGTCTTGAGCAGAAAATGCCAAGTGAGAGTTCAAGGCTCTGAGTTCAAGCTCCAATACTGACATATAAAAAGGAAAAAAAAAGAAAAAGCATGAGCCAGGTGCTGGTGCTTTTGCCTGTAATCCTAACTACTCAGGAGGCTGAGAACTGAGGATCATGGCTCAAAGCCAGCCCAGGCAGGAAAGTCTGTAAGACTCTTATTTCCAATTAACTACCAAAAAGCTGAATGTAGCTGTGGCTCAAGTGATAGAGTGCTAGACTTGAGCAAAAAGCAGCTCAGGGACAGCGCCCAGGCCTTGAGTTCAAGTCCCAGGAGCAGCGCGTACACACACACACACACACACACACACACACACACACACACACACACGCATGCGAGCATGAACATATTTGCACTGTTGGCACTTGCCCTGACTCTGAAATGACTTCAGAATTAAAACGAGTCAGAGCATGAAGTACTTGTGTCCTGGACATCACCTCCCGATCTAAATGGAGTCCTGGTTGACACACAGGGGGTCCCTGACAGTGCCCTGGGGTGCTCGCTGGTCTGGGCAGGGCAGGGCAGGCTCCCCCTCCCAGGAGGGGGCCGTCGGCTCAAGATGGGGGATGGACTGTAGGTGGGGGGAGGGGGAGGGGATGAGGGCTCCGCTGTACAGGACTCAGGTCTCCTCAAGATGGCATCTGTGGACCCCAGAGCTCAGTGAGACCCCAAGGCTCAGGGTCCAGGGCACCCTGGGGCCTGCCTAGCTGGTGGGTGGGGAGGTGGCCACGCTGAGGTTGGGCGTACTCACGTAGTGCTGGCTGGGGACAAAGCGTTTCTCGAAGCCCAGTAGGGCGATGTGGCGGATGGCGGTGTCCCCCATGGCTGCAGTGGGTGCCCTTGCCACTCTGGGCCACCGGGGCTGGGCCTTATATGAGCTGGGAAGAGGAAGTTGCTTGTGTTGGGCGGGAGGTTCGGGGTGGGGGCGGGGGCTGGGAGGACGCACAGGGCCTGGCTGGTCTCTTAAGCTTCTGAGGTGGTCTGTGGGGTCCTGGCAGGGACTCAGGCAGCAACTGCGGCCATTCGTGCTGCCCTGACCCCAAGGGGGCAGTACGGAGGGTGCGGAGAGCCTTGGGTGCTCCATACTCCCAGGGCTGTGGCTGGGTGGGGCAGAGAGTGATCGAGCTTTTCTGCACTGTGTCCACAATGGTTCTGGGGGTTGCGTTTGTTTCTTTTGTGTTTTGGTGCCAGTCCTGGGACTTGAACTCGGGGACTAGATGCTGTCCTTGAGCTTTTCCACACAAGGCTAGCAATTTACCACTGAGCGACAGCTCACATCCAGCTTTTTGATAGTTAATGGGAGATAGTCTCATAGTCTTTCCTGCCCCACCTGGCTTTAAACAAAGATCCTCAGATCTCAGTCTCCCGAGCAGCTGAGATTGTAGGTGTGAGCCACCATGCCCTGGTAAATGAGGTTGTTTGATGAAAGTGAGCGTAGGGTTTGGTGCTGGTCTTTCTATGGGCACGTGTTGTACAGGAAAAAGCGAGAAATAAAGGAGGCAGCTCTCTGCATCTGGCCTGGCTGGACAGGTGGTGGTTGCGGAAGGAACAGGGGGCCCTTTGGGGACTTCCCACACGACAGCCGCCTCCCTCCCCTGCCAGGCCGCCCCACTTCCTTCCCTTCCTCTCCCCCTTGCGCAAGGCAGTCAAGGCCTTGCAAACGCCGAGCCTGGCCAGGCCTGCGGAGATAAGCATCTCATGGACTTTCCTGCCTGGACGGGCTTCAAACCCTGCTCCTCGGCTCTCAGCCTCCTGAGCAGCTCAGATCACAGGCATGAGCCACTGGCATCTGGAGCAAGGTTTCAAAGCTTTCACTGTGAAACATAAACGTGCACAGGCTATACCTGTGTCCCAGCCCCCCAAATTCTGAAGCTCTGGGGTGCTTTGTGCTGGGCCAGGCCTTGGCAAATGTTTTTGTCACCCACAGGGAAACTGAGGCACATGGGGCATGGTGGTGGCTGGCTGGCCTGCACACCGCCTCCCGGCAGGTGAACAAATGGCTGGGTGGAGTGGGGGGGGGAGGGGCTGAGGGGCCTCTGGCTGGCGCAGACACCAAAAGTGAGAAGTTGTCACCCAGGCTTCGAGGCGGGGGGCCCCCCCCAGACCTTGACTTCCGGGGCCAGGCTGGCCATTTCCTTAGCCAGGAAATCCCCAAGGAGCACCAAGGGCCAGCGTGGGCAGGGGCCTGGCACCGGGGCAGCACTCTGGGGTCAGGGCTGTCATTCATCCTGTTTGTGCCCAGGTCTGTGGCGGTTTGTGGCAAGACCCTGCCAGGCTCTGGGGAGACGGCAGGTCCCACAGAGCTCAGCGCCACCTCGCTTCAAGGGCAACCACCCAACAGCCCTGTGCTGCCCAGTACCCCCTCCCCCCCTCTCTCCTTCCCTCCCTCCCTCCGCCAGGGATTGCTGGCCTCAGCAGGCAGCCACCACTCTCTGCCCTAGGCCTTGGAAGGCACTCTACACCCCAGTGGGTTGTGGGCATGGATGCGCTGGGGCCCCACCGTCTGCTCCCTGGGTGCGGGGAGCAGGGCCAGCCGCCAGGCTGCTGCTGCCCCAAACCTGGCTCAGGTTAGCCCTCACAAGCAGGGACTCCAGGCAGGAGTGCCCCGTCCGGCTTGATGGTGTGCTCTCCTATCCAGTGGGGGCCACACACAGCGCCTGCGCTTTGGTGCAGGGTCCTGGCAGGGCCAGGCAGCTCACCCTGCAGCGGAGGCCAGTGAAGGCTGCAGCTTGCACCATCGGGAAGGACGCTCAGCCCCGCGGCTGCAGGCTTGTGACATGGGTGTGCATGGCTCTCACATGCCAGAGTCCCAGCCTCAAACCCGATGCCTCCCTGTGGGAGGAAGCCCGTGCAGGCCAGGCTGTCCCCCAGGCTGGCTGCGGGGGTGTAAGCTCCTGGGGTGGAGACTAAGCAGAGTGCCACCAGGCCCACCCTTCCCACAGATGCCCTGGCATCTGCCCACTCAGGGCCCACCAAGGGCCCCGCCAAACAAGCACTCCACGTTCTCAGCCCCGGGCTCGGGATGCTATAGAAAGGGGGCTGCGCTGGTTTCTGGGTGCCTCTCAGCCTCAGGAGCGGTGCCCTGGGCCCTGCATGCACACAGATGTGGGGCGGGCCCACCGGTACCACGTGCCCCAGCACGACCCACACCCTGGCGGCACCGCAGGGCCATGCCTCCAGCTTGCAAGTTACATGTGGGGTCCTGACACCTCAACACTTCCCAACTGGAGCTGGACTCGGGGACTCCTGAGCTGCACCCCAGCCCTGACCAAAGCAAGCAGGTCCCCTCTGCCTGGTTGTAGGCCGCCATGCTGAAGGCTTCATAGAGCAGGACCAGGATCCCAAGTGACGGAGACTTGCATGGGTCACGAGTGGGTAACAGCTCAGGGCCCTTCCTGTCCCCACACTCCCCAGATTGTCTATTACCCCAGTGCCAAGCCCAAGATGGCCAAATGAACCCCCAAACTGCCACAACCACCATTGTGCCAGGTACAGGTTGTGCGAGGCCCCAGCCGCCTTGGGGCGTGGTACCAGGTGCCCCCCGCTCTGGCCTCAGCCTTCTCGGATGGGGTGCCCCCACCACCTGGGCCCATGTGCCCCACGCACCCAAGAAAGGTCCGAAAAAAACAGCCACGTGTGAAAGTCATGGATGGACTTTATTTGTTACCCTATATCTACAATCTGAGGTAAAATATAAGCAACACAGAAAATGCCTATTTCTGCTACCATGTGATATAATCTCCGTGGGTATCTTCGTGATAAAGCTAAGGAAACTATGCTCCTTGCACTGCGGCCGTCTGTGAACCACGCAATCTACCAGCGGGTGGAAGAGCGAGTGGGGCCCCGGCTCTGCGGCCCGCGTGGCGTGCAGGAACACGCGCTGCAGCGCCCTGCGCCGTCCCGGGCGCAGCGGGCTGGGGCAGGGCAGCCGCCAAGGAGCGGGCAAAGGCGCTGCCACCGCCGCTCGCAATTGTGACAAAACCACAGACCACAGGGGTGGCTCGGGAGAGGCCAGTCCATGCTGTGACGCAGACTGTCCACTCGGGAACGATTTTTCCAATAGAAAAACTAAAGAGCCGCTGGGCCCGGGAGGAGGCCCATGCCCCACAGCGCCACCCGCTGGCCGCCGCGCTGCAATTCACAGAACGGCTGAAAAAGTAGACATTTCTATCTAAAAGTAGAAAAGAAGGTTTGTATAGAAGGAATTCTGTTATACAAGTACTGTACACAGCTCGGGGCATGGCCGCTCCGCTCTGCTCCGCTCCCACGCCGGCGGCTGCGAGGACAGAGAGAGGAGAGAGGCTCAGCTCCGCGCCACGTGCCACCAGAAAGCCACAGCTCCACAGACGACCGCGGCCGAAATGCACAGAAGCACCCGTGGCTCACCTGGCCCGTGGGGAGCAGCCTACCACGTGGGGTCAGGCTCCTGCTTGATCTGGGAGCTTCCATCTGCCTCTTTCATTTCTGCCAGGACAAACAGAAGGGCGCCCATGCGCTGTGCTGTGTAGCAACACATACAAAAAGCAACCCCACGCCACAAGCCACTCGATGGGACGGTCCTATGCCCGGTGTGGTCCGGCGTCACGGCAGGGGGACACGAGGGCTGCACCGGCCACCCCACGACTTCACAGAACACGCACGTGATACACGAGGCTCTGAGCTGCCCCGCCCCCAGGGACCGGGACCCAGCAGCCACTAGCACAACATGCCACCTGCACCCCAAGAGCGACCCATCCTGAGTGCCAGGCCAGGCTCAGTGGGCACCCCCTTACCTTCCGCCACAGGAGCTTCCAACTGACTCTGCTCGGCTGACTCTGAAGGACACATGAAGCACAGCCCAGATTATTCAACAGCACCTACAGTGCTTGCTCTCTTCCTCTCCCCTTGTGCTGGTCCTGGGGATTGAACTCGGGGCCTGGGCGCTGTCCCCAAGCTCTTTCGCTCAAGAATAGCGCTCCACCACTGCACCACTCGCACCTTTTGGTGGTTAACTGCAGGGAAGAGCCTCATGGACTTTCCTACACAGGCCGCCTTCTAAGTAGCTAGGATTCCAGGCACGAGCCACCAGCGACCAGCAAGTTCTTACTTTTCTGAGGCGCTGCGCGTGAGCAAATGCACCAGCGTGTGCAGGCTCTGCTCACATGGAGCTCGTCCATGGCACCCACCTACCTCCCCTCCCCCAGCCTGCACAGGAGCAGCCAGCTCCCCCCCCCCGCCTCCTCGGCTTCCATGGTCCCCATGCACAAGGCCCTTCATGGTGCTCCACCAAGTCAGAGCAGCAGCTGCACAGAGACCCACTCCACGCCTGCACCAGCGCAGCAGTCTGGAACTGCGCGGCTCTCACTGGCACACGCTGGAACTGCGCGGCTCTCACTGGCACACGCTGGAGCTGATACGAGTCCCCCCAGGAGCAAGGCAGCCAAGGCCATGCGTCCGTGTGTGCACACGTGCACGTGGCTCTCACCTTGGGTCACGGGGCCCTCCGCCTCATTCTGATCCACCAGCTCTGAAAGGAAAGCGGGGAGCGCTGACAGCAGCACCGTGGCGCGGGCGCTTTCTCCCGGGAAGGGACCCAGCCAGGCCATGCTGCCAGCAGCCATGTCCACAGGACAAGGCAGAGCGGTGAGTTCAGGCTTTGCTCACTGACGGTCACCCAAGGACCCGCAGCAATCATGGCCCTCGGCTCTCAGCGTGGGGACAGTGGAGGTGAGGACAAGCCACTGTCTTGTGATTGGGGACATGAGGCCCCTGGCGGCCTCCCGCTATGCTTGGCTGGGACCATGTGCCCTAAGTGCAACCAAAGGCCGGCTCACTACACCCCACGGGGAGCTTCGGGGC